GCGCAGGGCGGGGTCTGACGCCAGCTGTGGGACCGGAGGGGAAAAGGTGGGGCTGACCTCAGACCACAGGGGTAGTAGTCACGCCCCATCAGTCCCCTCCTCAGCTGCTAAGGTCTCTGCAGAAAGGGCTCCCCAGGTAGCCTAGAACCTAAGCCACGCCCCAGCGTGGTCATGACAGCCAATCAGAGCCAAGTCCCTTAGCTGGGCACTAGGATTCTAATCTCCAAGCCGAACCCCCTGCATTTAGGCGCTGCTACCTTAACAGCTGCAGAAAGCCACTGATTTAAAGTACTATCCGGGGCACAGCCCCACTGTTCCTACCCGATCTTCCAAAGAAAATGTAGATCCAGCATTTGATCCCAGGGTCCTACCATCCCGCAACTCCGGTCCCCAGTAGGGCGTGGAACAGGAGGTCTGTCACCTTCTGGTTGATGACTTCCGCCTCCTCTTCCAGCAAGGCCACCAGCCTCCGCAGGAGGGCTTCCTTCTCCGTGGGTGGGGGGCCCTGCAACTCTAGAAGCAGAAGAGAGTTGGCCTGGGGACAGAGCCCTGCTCCCTTCCTCCTTCTCCAGGGCCCCTCTGTGCTCACCTGGGCTGGGCGGACATCTCAGCTGCTCTTGGACCAGCTGTTCCAGCCGCTGAGCCACCAGGGCATAGAAATCAGGAGTAGCCGGGCCTGGGATGAAAACAGTCAGTGATACTTGGTCTCGTTGGGGTAAATGAAGCCTGGTGAGAAAACTTGGTAAAAGATCCCCAAATCCTGTACTTTCCACTTTATTGTGCTCCCAAATTGAACTCAGAATGTCAGCACTAGATTGGACTTTGAAGATTATTCCATGCAACGAAAGCAAACACACAGCATTCCTGCTTTACCACCCCATCCCTCCTGCATTTCAGACATCACCAATTGATCACAGCATTCATCACCCACACTGCAAATTCCTTTTCATGCTAGAACCCCTAGGAGCCATTACTAGTCGATTCTGCTTCACCTGTAAGAGAAATCTGTTGGTCACTCTTTTTTTGTTTGTTTGTTTGTTTTGGGTACCAGGGATTTAACTCTAGACCTTGTGCTTGCAAGGCAGGTGGCAGAACCACTGAGCTAAATCCCCGGCCCAAGGTCACTCTTGCTCAAACCTGATGACCTGCTACCCCACTGCTACTCTGCTCCTGGAAAAATAGGGAAGCTCAAAAGCAATAGGATTGTCCCTAGTCATACAAACAAAAACCAGGTGTCCAGCTGTATTGGAAGTACCTGTTTCTACAAAAGGGACACTGTTAGGGGGCAGAAGTCAGTATGGAAAGAAAAATAACTACTAGATAGGGAGTAGGCTGAGGTGGTGTTACACACCTGTAATTCCAGCACTTGGGAGGCTGAGGCAGAAGGATCCCTTTGAGTTCAAGACCAGCCTGAGCTACATAGCAAGACCCTGTTTAAAAAAAAAAAAAAAAAAAAAAAAA